CACACACACACACACACACACACACACACACACACAGAGAGAGAGAGAGAGAGAGAATTAATTTTAAGAAAGTACTAAACATATTTTTCGATCGGATTAATAATGTTTCGTGTATTTAATGTTTAAAATAATTAACGATAGAAATAAAAAAGTTACGATATATTCCTCTATTCCGATGCAGAAAGCGCGGCAAATTCGAGGTGGCTTTCGAAAAATAGCCGGTGTGGCACACGTGACTTATGATAAGTGCTTCGCCAGAGATATTCCCGCGGGATCATCAATTTCAACGTCCCGCCTCCGCGGGTATACCCCCGACGTTTTCCGATTTCCTTCGCCTTCCGCTAGCTCGACCTCTTTTTTTTTTACTCCAGAAACTCCTTTGGAAAACTCATCCACCCCTGCAAGTTGCAATATTTCATGGAGTGGCGAATGCATTTTTGCTATATACGTCGTCGTAGTAGTGTTCCAACATAGACAAAATCTAAATTTTGAAAACTTTATCCAGATAAATACGATATAATCTCAAATTGTTATATGTATAACAAAACAAATTACATTAACAATCGAGATATATCGTGTTACCTTCCCACCTACCGTTTAATTTGTAGAAATAAGAGAAAACTATAAAAATTAAGCTGAGAAAAACTCGGAAACATACAAGTACAAATGTATTCTTTACAATTTATTTTTTCAAATTTTAAAAAAGTAGAACCAACTTCACACAGATAAGATATAATTATACAACTATTGTATCATTGTGTACATTCATATACGTGTTTGTTATGTGCATGTTGTACACCGTGCTTAAACAATGACGCTTCGGGAAATTAAATAGATTCATCCGTTCGACTTTACGACATAGATAGAGTAATCCGCGTGGCTTCTATCGTGCTGCTTTCCATCTTAATTCTGACTCGTGACGATTAAGATTTAATCGACGGAATCAAGCTAGTTAGGAAAGAAGATAGAGTTGCTAGCAAATCTTCTTTAAAGATTTTACATTAGAAACGTGGTAAACTACACGAAGATTTTTATAAGGAAAGAATTGCCATAAATTATTGCTAATCGCTATGCTCGATTGCAATTGATGTTAAAAATTATAATTATATTAGATTATTACATACAAAATGTTGTATTCTGAATTTTTCATTTTCAAAAAATGTTTTTTGTAAAAAAGAATGTCTTCTAATAATCAAAAGTAATGTATAAGAATTGCAAATATAATTTCATTATTTATATATTATTTAATAAAAATATATTAATAAAATATATATATTTTTAATTCCACGGAAAAGTACACGTTCTGTATTCTGACTTTATTATGGCATTATTATTAAAGTAATTCATAGTTCTGAACTAATTCAATTAGTTTGATAGAACACGAGAGAGTTCTTTGTTAAAAATTTAATAAAACATGAACCCAATATTTTTGCATCCGGGCGGGTAAAAGAGACTACTGGGAGAGTAAGGCAGAAAGAAAGACTGCGAAAAGTTGTAAAGACGTTCCATCGTCAGAAAAGCACCTTCAATTTAACATATTTAATGGTAATCTCATTGATGTACTCACCGGACTCCGAGATGGATGGGCTACCTGCAGACCTGTCCGAGTTACTGGAGCTTCCGGTCGAGCTGGTGGATACCGTGCCCAGGGAGCACTCAGAGATACTACGCCGCTTAGACAGCATCGCTGCGGAGGCGGCAGCGGCGGCGACAGAGCCGGTCGGCGCGCTCGTGCTGAGCCCGTGGAGGCCATGAAGCGCATGAAGGCCATGGAGGCCGGTCTGGTTCGTCAGCTGCTCGAGCCGCCGTCTCAGGAACCTGTGCTCGCGCGACAGCTGCTCCTTGTGTATGGTATGCTTACGCTCACGGTCCTCTAGGTTCTGTAATCGAACGATGTGACATCACACATGATCTCTCGCGCGCGATGTCATATAGTTTAAAATAATATTTTAATAACGTACGTGTATACAACCTAACATGTAGTACATATAGTGTAACATAAATATAATATAATACATATATAATATTAATTAAGAATATATGTATGTAATTAATAAACAATATTTATACATATATAATATATACATATAATATTTATATAATACTTTTATATGTAATATATTTTTATAGAGATATTGCTCATTTGCTACAATAACAACATAATTCAAAAAAACAGTTTTCTAAAAAAAGTTTGAATATTTTGAATTATTAATAAAATAATTTTTGTAATATTAATTTTAAAATGCAATTTTGATGTAATTACAAAAGAATAAGAGTATGTAGTTTTAAAGTATATTTTTTCTTTATGTTCCCGTCCTTCTTCTACAAATAATTAAAAAGTGATAATTTTTTTTTTTAATTATGTTGTAATAGTAAATAAGCGATATACTAATACTATTATATATACATATATATATATACACACATAGTATCATATAGTATTATACAAATATTATACATGTATATACTGTAATACATTTTAGAATTACAATTATATAGTAACAGTTATTGTACTAGCTAGCGAATATAATAATGTAAATAATTAATTTGTAGTATCATAATATTCATGATTATTTTATTTATTTATGATTTATCGCATCGATTTAATTAAAACATGTTGGAAAGTGTGATCTATTCCTTGTACACACACACACACACACATAAAAAGTTTTAATTTAATTAACTATTTATCATTTTATAATAACATTCCGTTTTTGTTCTGAGAGCTGCCAATAGAATATCGGCCGATAATCGGTTTCCTTTGTATTGTATACAGCATGCTATTTCGTAACGCAACAGTGAGCGCTTACCAAGAAGAGGCCGACCAATTCCGGTGCAAATCACCGAACAGGAAATAATCGAATGCAACTAAATGTGTATTCCACTGCGTAGTATTTGACATGCGTAGATTTGTCGGCTCTGCGAATTTTTTTCATTACGAACGTTTAGAATGAAAAATTTTGAAAGTTCTAAACTGACACTTTTTTTAAATTCCAATTTTTCGATTGTTTTAAAATTTTTTTATTTTACTATTTCTAAATTTTAAATCTGATCTCTCTCGAGGTTACTTATTATTTTATTAATAATTCAAAATATTCTAACTTTTTTTGGAAAACTGTAGTTTGAATTGCTTTGTTATTGTAGCAAGTGAGCGATATCTCTATAAAAATATATATATAATGCTACCTCAAGAGACATCAGATTTAAAATTTATTTATGATTTATGGTATACATATATGTGTCATTCTTAAAAAAAATTTTAACATGAGGACAAAGATTGGCGAAGATCTCGCGATTATTAGAACTATAGCACACAAAAAAACTCAAGCAGTAAGACATAAGCAATAAGGAAATTAACAGTTGAATTTGCTACTGTTTAAGTTTTCTACTGCGATTAGCCATTTTACTGCTTAAGTTTTTTTAAATGTGCCATGACATATTTTTCCGTAATGAAAAAATTTGGGGCGGTAAAATAGCTGAGAATCAACGCCGCTTTAGATATAGGATGGATGACACTGAGGAAGTAGCTCGGCGAAGAAATCACCTGATCACAGATTAGGGTACCACACGATAGGCCATGTGTTTACGTGTACGTGTTCATGGCGCGGCTGATATCGCGCTCGTAAGAAATTTCCTGGTTTCGTGCTTTCCATTTTATTCGATATGAATTTACAACGGAAATAAAAGAAGGCTAAGAAAAGCGTTAAGCGGAGCGTACCCCGCCATAAAACCAATCGACCAACCTCAGAAGTGAGACTTGGTTCACTCTTACCATTTATAATTGTGTCGGCCGATACTGGTTGCAATATACGTATAATCGGCATCGAAATTGTTACAACGTTTTGTGTTACGTATTAATGTTAATGGAGGTCATATTTCCATTATAAAAGTGTTTAACATAAAATGGCTTTTTCTACACATCTAGATAATATATACTATATAGATAAAAAATATAAATAAATAAATAATGACATTTAAAAAGAACAGTTTGAAAAATATGTTCAAAAAGTCTTGAAAAATATGTTTAAAAAAGTCTATAATAATATTTTATGATAATAAAGTAAAAATCTAGTTTTCTCGATTTAATACCATTCTTAATAAATTTTCCGCATTCCATAAAAATTGAAAATACTTATTTTAAACATTTGCTTACGTTTAATAAAGTTATATCAAGTTATATCAAGCGTAAAAATTAAAAAATTGCTACAATATCCCATACTTTTGATTATAACTAAAAAAGTTTCAAGCTATTCATCCTATTCTTTATATCCATTTATTATTATACACATAGTCTAAATGTAGACGGATAAGGCGAAAAAGAAAAAGCGTATAGAATAATTAGTGACGGAAACGTCTACCGAAGTGTGAAAAGAATCATGAAGACCATCAGGCAAAACAAAAAGGAAGAAGTTCAAAGGCGGACAAATGAAGACTTACACGCCGTCACCCTCGCAAAACACGAATCGCTTCAACCCTCCACCTCATCCTTTTCTTCACGTCTTACTTCCTCTCGTGTAAACCGCCACTACAGAAACGACACTTTCATGTTTCTCAGTTACCCCTGTGAAGCTAGCCCCCATTATTAAAAAAAATAATTTTTTTTTAGAGTTCTGAATAGATTTCCAATAGTTCCAGTGTTCCTGATAGATTTAAGAAATAGTTACGGCCATTAGAGCCATAAAAACGCGTTTTGAAAAATGGGGAGCTAACTTCACGCAGCCCTCCATTTTCGAAAAAAATCATTTTTTTTAGAGTTCTGGATAGATTTTGAATAGTTCCAGAGTTCCTGATAGGTTTAAGAAATAGTTCTGTCCGAGAAAGTAAAAAAAATGTCATTGAAAAACTCGAAATTGACACCTAAAAAACAGCCACAACTTTGAAAATATTATTTTTACACAATTTTCTCATTAAGATATTTTATAGAACTCTGCGGGGGCTACCCAGAACTCTCGACAGAACTGTCAGAACTCTTCAAACAATTTTTTGATCGTCTAAATTCGAAAATGGACACCTATAATCGCTCGTAACTTTTTCAAATTTTACGGATTTTTGTCATTAGGAGTTTTCGACAGAACTCTGCGGAAACTACCCAGAACTCTCGACAGAACTGTCAGAACTCTTCAAAAAATTGTTTACTCGTCTAAATTCGAAAATGGACACCTATAATCGCTCGTAACTTTTTCAGTTCAAACTTTACGGATTTTTGTCATTAGGAGTTTTCGACAGAACTCTGTGAGGGCTACTCGGAACTCTCGACAGAATTGTCAGAAATTTTCAAAAAAATTTTTTGCTCTTTTAAAGTAGAAACTGGACACCTAAAATCGCTCGTAACTTTTTCAGTTCAAATTGTACGGATTTTCGTCATTAGGATATTCGACAGAACTTTGGGTGGGCTACCCAGAACTCTCGACAGAACTGTCAGAAATTTTCAAAAAAATTTTTTGTTCTTCTAAATTAGAAATTGGACACCTATAATCGCTGGTAACTTTTTCCGTTCAAATTTTACGGATTTTTGTTATTAGGATTTTCGACATTTTACTGTTTTTGTATGTGCCTTTTATAAGGTAACACCCTTTCGAAATAAATCGGTTTTTCTCTTTCGAAGCAGAGACTTCCGAAACTGTAAGAAATACTAAAAAATGTTTTAAATGATAGTTGCATGGTTTCAGAAATACTTAACAATAAAAGATAAAAAAAATTTTTTTTTTAATTTGTTTATTTATTTGTTTATTCTCACCACTTGACTCTTCTTTTTTAATTTTGATTTTTTTTTATGACAATGAAAAATATTTCAAGATGGATTCAATCGTGTGTGATAAATTTATTTTCCAAAGTATCATATTCGAGAAATAATTAAAAACATTTCAATATGCTCGTGGTGCGTTAAGAATTGAGTGTGGATGGCGAGCGTATAGAGACGTTTTTAGTTATTTCTCAAAAATGATTCTTTGAAAATAACTTTATCACACATGATTGAATTTATCTTAAAATATTTTACATTATCATTAAAAAAATTATAATTAAAAAAGAAGAGTCAAGTGATGAGAATAAATTTAAAGATGTTTTTAAATTTTTTTCCTATTTTTATTGTAAAGTACTTCTGAAACCACGAAACTTTCATTTCAAACATTTTTTGCTATGTCTTACAGTTTCGGAGATATTCGCTTATACAGGGTGTCCCGAACTTTTTTGCTAATCACTTTTGTGTAGATAGAACGGACTATACTGAGTCGAAAAGTCCTCTACCATTTTATAATTTTCGCAGTAGTTAACAAGATATTAATTACTAAAAATAGCAAAATATTAGTATTGAATAATTTTTTACTCAAATACTATCAACTTTACTGAAAAACTGCAAGAGATAAAAATCATTTATTTTCTTCTCATAAAGTTCTGAGAATTATTTCAGAATTTTTTTAGAATTAAAAACGTCTTTTTCAAAAATGATACTTCGGAAAATAAATTTATCACATACGATTGAATCCATCTTAAAATATTTTTCATTATCATAAAAAAAATCAAAATTAAAAAAGAAGAGTCAAGTGATGAGAATAAACAAATAAATAAATAAACAAATTTAAAAAAATTGTTTATCTTTTATTGTTAAATATTTCTGATATCATGCAACTATCATTTAAAACATTTTTTAGTATTTCTTACAGTTTCGGAAGTCTGCTTCGAAAGAGAAAAACCGATTTACTTCGAAAGGGCGTTACCCCATAAAAGGCACATACAAAAACAGTAAAATGTCGAAAATCCTAATGACAAAAATCCGTAAAATTTGAACGGAAAAAGTTACAAGTGATTATAAGTGTCCAATTTCTAATTTAGGAGCAAAAAATTTTTTGAAGAGTTCTGACAGTTCTGTCGAGAGTTCTGGGTAGCCCCCGCAGAGTTCTATAAAATATCTTAATAAGAAAATTGTGTAAAAATAATATTTTCAAAGTTACGGCTGTTTTTTAGGTGCCAATTTCGAGTTTTTCAATGACGTTTTTTTTTACTTTCTCGGACAGAACTATTTCTTAAACCTATCAGGAACTCTGGAACTATTCAAAATCTATCCAGAACTCTAAAAAAATGATTTTTTTCGAAAATGGGGGGCTGCGTGAAGTTAGCTCCCCATTTTTTAAATCGCGTTTTTATGGCTTTAATGGCCGGAATTATAGTTCCGGCCATTTAAGTAATATATTTAAGAAATAGATAGAATAATAATATATAATGTTAATTTATAATGTTCTTGATAGATTTAAGAAATATATTTCTTAAATCTATCAGGAACTCTGGAACTATTGAAAATCTAATCAGAACTCTCAAAAAAAATTATTTTTTTTAATAATGGGGGACTAGCTTCACAGGGATTTCTCAGTTCCTCTTACCACTATCTTCTCTCAACTTCTATTTATCCTCTTTTCAACCTCTTTATTCCTTTATCGTCCGCCTTATTTTTCGCTTTACAGAATTTCTTAACGCTGCCATAATTAATTATCCTACTGTCATTGTCGAATCAATCAGGAAGTTACCATGTGAAGTACCGGAAAAAGTTTTGTTTTGTAAAACGACTTTTATAAAGTGAATCAAACGTTATATATCAAGTTAAAATCGCTCTTTTTTTACAATGCTCCATCATTTTTCGATATTACGATCTTTATTGCGTTTGCAGATGCTCTCTTAAATTACGCGTAACAGCTTTCCTCCTCAAATGACGGACGAACATTTTTCTCCTACCTAACGCAGGCACATAATATACACAGGTGCCCGCAGGTCAGATTGATGTACACGCTGAGTCTCCCACGCGGACTATGCATACACGAATGAACGGTGGATACGCACTGCTGCTTGCCAATCTATAGGGTGCCCCGAGTACAAGCGTTCAGATCGTAACAGACGATGAAGAAACTACATCGATAAAATAAACGCCTTTATTTTTCACGCACGTTTATCACGAAACGATATTTTGCATTTTTCGATAACTTTTAATTACCTATTTATATTTTCTAATCATGTAGGATTTATTGTGCTATTATTATGAATATCATTTAATAATTTACACATCCATTTATTACCGAGATTCTCTTGCAGCGTTTAAAAGAAATAATCATATTTTCAAAGCAGAAAATCTTAATGTTTAAGTATTTCATACAATGTGAATTTATACACATATTCAATTCTGCAAACCGCACGCCGAAATCTTTTTCAGTCTTAAAACGCAATCATGAACAAAACTATAATAGTAATATCACAGTATTAAATTGGCAAACACACAATTTAATAATTTTGTTAATACGCATCTCTTTTAGCATAATTTAAAAAACTTTAGAAACAGAAGAGAAAGATTGCATCTAAAAGACAACATTTTGGCGCCATAACATTTGTTTTTATTATACCAAGGAAAGATTTGAAGAGAAGACTATGTCTCGCAAAAAAGGAAGCAAAACAAATCAGATAAATGGCGAGAAAGTCTCTTTAAGAATACACCTCGAGAATACATAGCCGGAGCATTATGCACGCGCGCGAGAATGGCGAATATTTTAAGTACGTTTTACGAGAACAATTTACTCGAGGAAACAAAGAACACGCGCCTTCATCACCTGTTCGAATCACTGCGCTTCCATCCACGTCACCCTGTAGACTATACGTGGAAAACTCTAACACGCACACACGCGCCCGCCGCGTTTGTCGGTACGCACGGCATTGTCCCTGGCAGTCTGTAATTTACTAACTACGCATCTATTGTGCATCGCCACTCTGTTTGCTGCAACACCTTACTCTGCCTTTCTTTACACCACGTGTAGCCCTCCGCCCATTTGTCCCTTCTGAACCTATTTCAATCGGGAAACAATGTTTCTAATGCGTTTCCTGCTTATATATCTCAAATTCTGAGATTTAACCTCTCTTTCTCTCTTTCTTTATTTCTTCAGTAATAATAATCTTTCGCAGAGAGAGAGATGACATTCTTATGCAAAGAACTTTAAATTTCAATCTAACAATAAGTGATCACTAGCTGTCGAACAAGACAAAAGAATAATCTGTTTTCTGTCTTTTACTGTGATAATCCGACTTTATATATCATATTCGATTTTATATATATCAATTTTAGTAATTTGACTGATTTACTCACCTTGATAAACCGTTTGGCCTTGGTCAAAAGGCCCAACGTGGTGTGCCTCGAGGTTTCAGGCCCGAGTGGCACTAGCAGCTTCAGCTTCTCAAGACAAGTCCTAAGATGGGCCCTCCTATAACAGAAAAAAAATACTATACCGTAATCAATTGCAACATCTTTTACTTTTTTGCGTATTATACTGTGAAAAATTTCTGGTTAAAAACCAGAAGATTCTGACCATATCAATCAGAATTCTCATTATCTCAACTAGAATCCCGACTAGAATAGATTCAACCAGAAAATTCTGATTTATTCTGATTATTTCCATCAGAATTCTTATTAATACAATCAGATATTTTTTCTATATTAAATTACTCTTATTATAAATAACTGAATTGCACTTTTATGTACTATTCTATTAGCCTTATCTCTAAATCTGAGTCAGTGGATAATCACCGATATCAGTTCCAAGTATGCCACTGCTAATCAGTGAATGAAATGTGAGATCCCTAACCTATTTATCTTTATTATGTGATCTAACCTTGTTTTAGTGCATAAATTCAATGAATACAGTATTGGAAAATTGAAATTATAACATGCAAATATCAGTATTTTAGTTATATAATATATCCTCAAACATTTTTCCTTTTTTAGTTAAATTTCACTGATTATCAGTGTCAAGTATGCCACTGAGTAATTATAGTGACTATCCACTCGTTCAGATTTAGAGAGTAGGCAATTATTGCGATACAAAACGTAAAAATCTTTTTGTTAAAATAAAATCTTAATTATCGTAGAAAAGTAACTTGTAAAAACATCCATTTTCGGCGAAACGCACTGTCGCGAGGATGCGTGCGTATCGCATGTACCGAACATGTGCCAAACCATTAGCGGCATTTAATTATAAGTTTACGACTGCTTTATAGTCACCATTCTGGAAAATAAAGACTCCGACGACGATAATGGAAGAATAAGACCACGGAAATTTCGAATTAAGATGAATTCACACAAAAACAAAATGTTAAAACAAGAGAAGTAGATAAGAAGAAATTTAGAAAATAATAAAAAAGAAAATTTGTCGCTTTCGAAATTAAGTTGTTATACTTCAATCTCTTTTTTCGCCACCGAATATTTCGTCGGAAAAGAATTTTTCTTATATGCGTGATATATGTGAATAGAGCTTAAACCCATCCAGAAACAGAATGACGCGTTTGCACGTACATTTTACGAGAAACAATAAGCCCGCTCTAGCTTAATGACGTCATCAAATGGTATTATGCCCCGCGAGCTGCAGAGTGGACGTGTTTCAGCCGTAAATAGACGCATTTCTATCTACATAGCCTTACGTCTATGTCTCCGTCTGGGCATGTACACGGCGTATGTATGTACAAGATATATCTGTAATACTGATTATGCTTTCATCATCTTCTTTAGGATATAATTTTTCTTCGATGGGACTATTCAGGATAATCACCATTTAAATTAATAATATTACATATTCTTGTAATTAAAATAAAAATTTGAAATAAATAAATCTTTGATATTTTTTTTTGTCTCATTTTGCACCTTTATTGAGAAAACTCAAACGCCATTACAGAGAATTAAAATATCGTGAAAGAGTATCTTCCTGTAAAAAGTGCGTTTTCCAAGAGCACCGCATGGTTCCTGCCATTTTCAATCAACAGCAACATTTTTGTCGTGACAGGGGAAGGGCAACGGAAGAGAGGAGTAGAGAAGCGATCCTTCAATCAATGGCAGCGTGTGACAGCGGCATTATGAAATTCCTTTACCAGTAGGGGTTACCCTGATGAATAAATACTTCGCACGGAATTCCCGCGCGTCGAAGTCGTTGGGGTAGTTCGGCAAAGACGCGGTTACGGCAGATCCCGCGGATCGGGGTACGTATGCGGAAGATTGCCCTCAAAGGGAGAATGCCTTGGAGACGCAACGAGCGGCAACAGTCGAATATTAGTCGATAATTCGCCCGCAAAGTCGCCAAGTGGAAAACGAGCAATTCGCTTCACTGTTTGTCTCATTTTTTATTTCACGATTTCGAGACATCTGATATCTTTTCCTTTTAATCGAGGATTTCAAGATATACTGAAATTTAAACAATTTACTCGATTTAGCCGCAAAATGGAACTAGCTGCGCTTGAGACGACTTGTATAAAGCGCAAACAACGTTGCGTTGCGTAGCCAAGGCGGGAGCAATGGCCGGCCATGAGTTAGATCGCTTTAACAGCCGCCTGTAAACAGCCTCGTAACTTTACTTCTCCTCCCGCTCCGATATCTTTCCCCCCTCTACCCCCTTTCTTCTGTCTATCTATCCATCCTATTATACTGCTGTATCACCATCCCCCTTATTTCATATTCGTCTTTCATCCTCTATCTCTTTTTATCCCTGCGTCCCCCTCCTCTCTCCCTCCCTCCCCCCCCCTTCTTTCTCCTTTTCCTTTCCATTCTATTTTTATCTTTACCTTGCTCTATTGCACAGATAATTATCAATGCTAAAATTTCTCCATAGTTTATAATAAATTATGGTACCGTATTGATTCCAATTACATTATTTATATCCACATAATACGATTTATTGCGACATTGAATCGTGAACATCTACCTATTTATTCTAACAATAAAAATTCTGAATAACTTACTAATTTTTATTAATCTAGTGTTCTGAGTCTAAAAAATCAAATTGTTCTTTTATTTGTTGTGTAAAATTAAGTATTAATTAATTTTTAGTTTTATAATCTAGCTATTAAACATCGCGTATTTATTGCTTCTATAATACTCGTAGACAATTAGTTTTAAATTTATCTAAATTAAGGATAATTTGTCACTTACACTCACAGAAAGGATTTCTAATAACGAGACGAAAAATATTCTTGACCTATTTAATCTTATCTTAACTTTATGCAGTATAAAATTAAATTAACGTTATAATTAAATCAATAATTCCTATTCTTCTCCCTCAAATTATATAAGATTGACTTATTATCTTAAGATAAGTGTAACACATCTAATTTCAAGTTTATATATTCTTACATTTAGAATACATTATTATCGACGTCACTATAATGCTATACAATTCGCACCGCGCGCCATCAGGTGTGCCGTGTGCGTACTATTTCACGCATTATCACAAGGTTAACAAGGATCATACACCGAGAATCTTTCACATCGTCACGTAGTTTTCCTGTTCCAAGAGACGCCTAGTCGCATTGCGTCGGTGCCCTTGCCAGAGGAACACCGCAATACTGTCTTACCGCGTATACGTTATCATTTGTAATTAAACTGCGGCGACAACATAACACGCAATAATACGCGAGTGGTGTTGAATTGTGTTTCATTCCGTGTTTGTCGTGTGTTTATACTTCTTCATCAGTATTGATCAGTGCACAATGGATCCGAAATTTATAAATAATACTCTTGAAAATCAAATGTGAAATTAGAGCATTTTTGAGAGTGAGAACGCTGTAATTCTAAACGCCGTAAGCACTATGGCTTCTTCTTTATTATAAAATATAATATCAAATAAATCGTACGTTTCGACTCTTTTTTTAGTTTTCTTCAGCTTGTATTTCGGAGAAGGTGATTACAAAAAATATCCATTGTTCTACTCATTTCGCTGAAGAAGACTCAAAAAAGAATCGAAACGTACAATTTATTTGATATTATATATTTTATAATAAAGAAGAAGCCATAGTGCTTACGCTAAAGATAAAGAATTAAAAGTTACTTCGATCTAGCTATATAAAATACTGCAAAGAGATATCGAAATATTCTGGATATATTGGAGAGAAGGAAATAATTAAAATTTATTACTTTTAAAATATAGTAAACATAGATTTGCTCACAAAATTAAATTAAAAGTAACCAAAAACGTTTTCAATGCGTAAAGCTGTATAAACAAATATGATAAAATATGTAATATACAAATAAAAACACTTAATTATGCTCCATTAATCATTATTCATTACTCCAGGAGTAAATAAATACCAACAAATTCTTAACTCCCATTTTCGATAGCTTGGATATCAATCAATTAAGGGATTATGCCTATACCTGCATGGTCGGAAAAACACGTATTCTTGGGAATTTTTTTTTGAAAAAATTTGAAGTGCTTTTGAAATAAATGTTTATGTTTTCAAATATATGTATTTCGAGGATAATTCAATATTTTTTTTATTGTAAAATATCGATAAATAAGGAAGATGTGAGTAATCTCACAGAAGCAGTTTTTCTAGAAGCGTTTTGCGGTGACCACTCTAGCTTTGAGCAGGTTTATCTCAAACCAAAAAATCCGACAAATTTAGTTAATATATAAAATTATCTAGTGCCCGATCGTTCATTTTTTTGAAAAATTAATTTGCGACAAAATGGCGGCTGTTTAAATTTGAAGATACGATTCTTCTAAAAGTCAGCTCGTTTTTTATCAGTAAAAAAAATACGCAACGAAAAAAAAACCACGATCGGGCACTAGATTTTGTAGTATTAAAGAAGCCTACCAAATTTTATTTTGATCGATGCAGCGGTTCTCGAGATATTTTGGTCACTGATTTTAAAAATGCGGTTTTGAGAAAAATGCGTTTGAAGTTTGCCAAGTAATTTTGAAAGGTATCTCCTAAAACATATCTTAGAATCCCCCAAAAACCCCTAACAGCTAGAATTAAATCCCCTACATTTTCCCCCAATAGTTTGGACTGTACAAAATTAAAAAAAAATACTCACGTAATTTCACGTAAAATACCTACTTCAAATGTTCAAACCAGTATACCTTTAAACTCACATAACTTCGTCAATTTTTATCGAATCGGCTTGAAATTTACAGGGAATATTTTTGAAAGTATGTACTTTAAGAAAATATCAAAATCCAAAAATCGATTTTTTTTAAGTTTACAGGTATAGGCATAACCCGTTAAATCCAATCGGTTTTTTACTAAATTACTATTAAACGACAGGATTTTCTCAACTCCAACATTCTCAAATTTTAAGATAAAATTAGTATCCTTGATTAATCGGGCATTAAGCCCGAAAGAAAGGTCGACCATTCAGGGAAATCGAGCTTTCGTTTGAGGAGGGGATTCGGGATAGTTTAGCAATTCATTAGGACAGACACTCGAGAGTCGAGACTTAGGCGAATTTAGATTTCCTTTAACTGACGCTCACTCTATAGAGAGGTCGGATAGAGAACGAGAGAAAAGAAAGAGAGAGAAGCAACTAGAGGCATTACTGCAAAATACCATTTGTAGACACAAGCGAAAGGGGTCTGGCTTAATTAAACTGTATGCAGCTTCCCAAAACGGGATTCCATTTAAAGCTGAGCTTTGCCTCAGATCTCCACAAGCTCCTTTTCATGGAAGGCTCTTTTCTCGTCTCTCATCTTTGACCCTCTCAATCAATCGCGCAGAGTTATAATTTCAATCGTACCAAACTCAACGTGAGATAAATATTTACATTTATGACAAAATAATTATTTCTGAATATGACATTTTTGTAGGTCTTTTCATAATCTTTAATCGATTATGTACAATAGTAGTATCTCAGTAATTTTAATACTGCAGAAGAAAATGTGCTAACTAAAACAGATTATTGTATGTAAAATATTGTAATTTTTCAACAACGCTCTTATAAAATTAACGCCATCTGATAATCATTAAATGTTACACAGATATCAATCTTTTACAACATACGATTCAACTTTTACGAAACATTCGACATTTTTAAAACAAATTTGTAAAAATATAGAGAAAATTGTCAAATCACTCTCCAATCAACAGTTATTAACCGTAACATTATTATATGTTAAAAATATTTCATAGTAATATTATATCAAATACACGGAAAAAAAAGATTAGTTGCAGGAGCAAAAATTTGCGAGTGGTAGCTAAATTCTAGTCGTAACATATGGATACCTAACGTCATATCTGCGAGGTATAATTTCCATTAGCTGTGAGGCCTAAATATTGTCATTGTAACAGACAAGCATTTTGCTATTATGTCGATCTATTGATCATTGCAGCAAACGTTTTCTGTGTAGCAGACAATTTGGTAGCAAATACAGTTTCAACAAACCGTATTTAGCTGTGGTAGAGACAATTTTCTTTTACACTGACATATCCGATAATTATGACAACTAACTTCATGCTGCTAAATAAATTGATCTGTAACAGACATGCATACTTTGCTATCACGTCCTTATATTAACTACGGCAGCAAATTCTTTGTATGTATTAGCAAATTTCATAACTATAGTAGCTAATGCAATTTCAGCTAACAGAATTAGCTGTAGCCCCAGCAACATTTTTTTTCTGTGTACTATAAGGAATAATTATATTAAGAAATGTTATATCAAAAAGTGTCGGTCAAATTAACGTACAAAAATTATACAGAGTACAAATCTTGATACGCATTGTGTGGGACACCCGGTATAGTTGAGTCTACACTCACATAGGTATAATTCACCGGCACGTGTAGATGCATACGGACAGCTGTGTAATGCTGGTTTCGCTTAATTAAGCTGTTTCTAGTTGTGTCGAAATCCTTAGTGAACGACAAAGGCGAGTCCGCACGTGCCTTCATTAGACTCCCTCAATTCGGAGTAGCAAATCCTGAGACCAGCTCAATCGTATGCCCGAGGGATTTAGAGGTAAATGCATGTCCTCTTCGGTATTGGGAATGTTACTTTATCCGTTTCCTATGCTTCTGTAAAAAGAATTCGAGACCGAAAATTCACGCGTCATTGTATAAAATATCCCCTGGTCCTGCCACATTAAGTTAACTTCATAGCGTTACAAATTACGTGTATGAAGCGAGGAAAAAAGTACAAATTGACAAAAAAATGGAGTATACTCAAACAGAAACGCTGGCCAATCGCCACCTTATTTTTAAAGTCGATGGCACAGAAGAGCGTTATTCTTCTGCTCCCTCCCACGCTCGTAGCATCCCCTTTCTCTCTGTATCTGCGGTTCTAGATCACATCTCCCCGGCAACTTGATCTTGACCTTTCGAACCCTGTATGTGATTGCGCCGGCTATTTCTCCTCGTATATTCCTTCTCTTCCTCTAGCTTTCTTCCTCGTCCTCTTCCGTTCTTCTATACAATTTTTTGTTTTATATCTTCTTCGTATCAATGTAAGTTATGCTCAATCAGAATGTAACCAGAGACAGTTTTCCGCCAGAATTATTTTTGCTGAATCTAACAGCATTTCTTGTGTTAGTCCTATAAAATTCAATTTCTCATATATTATATATTCACATTCCTCCTTCGTCCCGTTCCGGAAAGCTTCGAGTTAAGAAAAAACCGAGCATTGGCTGACAAGTCGTTTTGCTTTTCCCGGGGACAAGGATAAAACTTCGTTGATCGTAAAATTTGGAGTCTCGCAGGAAGTTCCTTCCTCTCCCCCTTCGCCCTCTCTTCTACTATCTCAATAAAACTTTCATCGCGCTTTAAAAGTCTCGTTTGGAATCCGTCGAAGGGACAGCAAACCGGAAAACTTCACGGCTATCTTTCTTAGCGATATTGTATTTCAAATATAGTTCAACCCTTTTGGCCTTCATAATACATTTCTTTCATTTTAAATGCCGAAGGTGCGAAGACAAGTACATAATAAAAAAAGACTAATATGATTAATTCTTACTTTTGAAAAGTAAGAATCAACTTGGCGATTCATAATGTGCGCCAAATGCGAGAAAAGTATTATGCGTATAGCAAAAAGTATCCGAAATTTTGAAACAAACAACGCTTATCCGCATTATTCGCATTCGTTGCGCAGTCACACAGTTTCTCGCCAATGATAAAATCGCGCAGTTATCACTGGGATCTTTCATGACTTATTCAACGCATGACTCGAGTGTAAAACTTTTCCCTTCTCCCACCTCACCAATGTATCCATTCTAGTATTTCCGTACCCTCGATCCAAGATCTTTCTCTTCTTAATACGGCACAGAAGATGCAGAGGTAGAAATACAAGTAATACTAGAATGTATTAAATTCGTGTTAAATTCATCCAGAAATGGAAAATCGCACAGCTTTAAAATGATTTCAATCGATCAAAATTATCGCCTTTAAATTTAATACTCTTGTCAAGTAGAACAAAATCAAAGATGTATATAAATTCACACACAGAAATATTTAAGCTCTAAAATCTAAAAATTTCGACCGAAAACTAGCCCTGGTAGAAATTTTATGCAGTATACGATTGGTTATTGGGAAGTTGTACTGACTTTTATCTAGTAATTGAACTGCAAAACTGTTCAGAATACCAATCACAACGTAACGCTTTTCTCGCAGTTACTGCACAATAAAGAAGTTCAAAATCTGAATACAGTTACTAAGTAGTAAGAGAACAACAATACTAGAATAGGCTCTTCATTTATGTCATTCACATAATCTGAATTATTCTACACAAAATTAATATTATATTAACGTAAGTAAAATAAACAAAGTATCTATACTAAAATTCTTCGTTACTCACATAGGTTTCATTTCTGTGAGACTTATTCGTCATTTCTAATCTTTGATATTTACCGCTTCTAACCTCATCTTTGTGATAGTCATACATGCTGTAAATTATTTAAATTCTTCCAGTTTTTTTTTCTTTGCTCTACATTTCCGTACGCGTTCACGACTTTCACACATATTTAATTATTAACAATTTTACATATAATATAAAAATATATTCAGTTATACACGTATCGCAATAATATATGCGGATACACATGACATAAGCACTGCATAACTATACAACTGGTAGAAAACTGGACAATTACATTTTTAGTAATGATACAAAATCTCTTGTATAGAATTGACCCAGATATTGCCTAGTAAAACTGCTTTAACTAATTTTGCCCAGTTGCTACGTAGTATTTTTGTACTATAAAGAGAAATCAGTAATACTAGATAGTAACTAACTGGGTGCTCAGTCAAATTGCACAAATTTCTACCAGGGTAGGATTTCTTTTATTTATAAGTATAGAAAACATTTTTTTGTTTCCAAAACGCTCTAAATTAATTATTAAAAGTAGGACTTGATAAAAAAAAGAACACGATAAACTTTTTACACCATTAATATAAAATATTGTATAAAATATAAAATAAACCGCATGAAAACAATAAAGCATACAAACCACAATAATAAAATTGTAATAAACTGTAGTAAAAAGTATGACTTACGTCAAACGGCTATTCGTATATACATTATTTATGGACAATTTTCTTCCGGCTTGGGTCAGGTCAGGTAAGAGGGACAAAAGTGCACGATCATCACGAGTAATGGTTACGAGCTGCACGCCGCGATTAGACGATTAGAATCTCGTGAACATTATCTGTCATTATGGAAGCAACGAGGCTATATATATATATACAAATTATGAAAGAAGAGGTGGCCCGCTTGATGCGAAATGTCCCATATATATATATATATATATATATATACAGGGATGGGAAGTAACTTGTTACTGTAATTGCCGTTACTTAATTACTTAGTTACCTTACTATAATAACAGTTTGGTAATGACAATGCGAATTTTTTATAATAATAAAGTAACACCATAGTTTAGAACAGTCAATAAGCACTTACAGCGGGTTGGAAAAGTCATTCATTACTGGAAAAAAATAACTCGTAATTTGTAACTCGTTACTTCTTAAAGTAACTTGTAACTTAGTAACTTAGTAACTTTACTCGTTACTTATGACTTTTTTCATTAAAAGTTGCAACATTGTTATTAAATTGTTGTTATAACAAGTAACTGTAAACGTAACTGTAAAAGTAACTCTTTCCTTCCCTGTATATATATACAGGGTGTCCCATTTTAATCTATCATCTCAAATATCTCTTGAACAGTGCATTTTAAGGAAAAATGTTTCAGACAAAAGTTTTAGGACTTTGAGGGGGACATAAAATGGTGCCATTGGTTTGATTTTGGGTGGCGTTGTCAAGGTCAGGGCAAGGTCACTTTGAATTTTTTAAATGGAACTCCCCATTTTTCATTACGTATTCTTGTAGCTTACCTCGAGAGCTTTCCAAAACACTATAATTAAGTTCATTTTCATTAAGTACTTTACAAGTTATGAGGCTTGCAAGTTATAGCACTGCAGACATTAGCATTACCCAAGATGTCCGATCGACGGCTAAAATCTCTTAAACGTTGTTCAGGACCATTACCTGGATAATATTTGTCAAGATCAAGACCATTGGAGATTGATCCTCTTATTTTCACTTTTGCACTAAAAATTTATTTCTACATAAAAATGAAAATAAGAGGTACAACCTCCAATGATCTTGATCTTGACAAATATTATCCAGGTAATGATCCTGAACAACGTTTAAGAGATTTTAGCCGTCGATCGGACATCTTGGGTAATGCTAATGTCTGCAGTGCTATAACTTGCAAGCCTCATAACTTGTAAAGTACTTAATGAAAATGAACTTAATTATAGTGTTTTGGAAAGCTCTCGAGGTAAGCTACAAGAA